TGTGTGTGTGAAGAGAGAGAGAGAGAGAGAGAGAGTGTGTGTGTGTGTGTGTGAAGAGAGAGAGAGAGATACATATAGAGAGAAAGAGAAAGAGAGATTTGAGAGAGAGAGAGAAGTGTGTGTGTTGTTTGCTTCTGCAGCCTGCTTATTTGCTTTTGATCTTCTTCTTCTTCTCCTTCTTCTTCGTCTTCCCCTCTTTGGCATCTGGATCGATATCGGCATCGGCGGGCTGCTTGGCGTGTCTTGCTTGGTGTGTGGTGACTGATTGCTTGTGCTCGGTACGGGATTCTCCTGGTTGGGGGCCTTGTGGCGACGCCGAGCGTTTGGGTTGATTTACATGTTAGTGCGGTCACTGATCTCGCCTCACAGTCGTCAGTGTGCGCTTGGGCAAGCAAGTACACCTGCGCTCGCAAACGTGACCAGAACTATTCGACAGAGGTGAGTCGCTTGGTTCACCAGGCAGGGAAGTGCAAAGACCCGCTGACCGTCTGCCGTTTTGGAATATGCGTGCCCCCGTCGTCAAATCCCAGTCCGATTTTTGGGTTGTGAGTTGCAGTTGGAGGGGGCTCATGAGCTTGGTGGTGATCGAGAGATACCGTTCAGATACCGTTACCATGAGTGCTGCTGCAGAGCAGCTGTTTGATGCGTACTTAAAAAAAAATCTCAAAAAGGCTGAGCAGCTGTTGAACAGTTGGGACCAGCATCATGTTCGAGCTGTTGCCCAATCCAATGGCGCGGTAATATTATTGTGTCGTTTTCGCTACACTCCAAGTGTGGTGATGTTCTTTGGAATTCTCAATTTGTGCATGTTTGCATCATCCCACAGCATGGCAATACACCACTGCACTGGGCCTGCAGCAATGGTCATGTCAAGGCAGTTAAGATGCTGTTGAAGCATGGTGCTTATATTGAAGCCAAGGACTACGTCAGTACAGTACCTGCGCCCCCCTTTTCGCCCCCCTTTATGATACACCTGTACAACATGATGGTGGGGATTCTGTACCTGTGCGTCATGCTGATGCATCATCCCATAGTATGGCGGAACACCACTGCACAATGCCTGCGATTCGGGTCATGTCAAGGTGGTGGAGATGCTGTTGAAGCACGATGCTGATGCTAATGCCGAAGACAACGTCAGTACAGTACCTGCGCCCCCTTTTCGCCCCCCTTTATGATACACCTGTACAAAATGATGGTGGGGATTCTGTGCCTGTGCGTCATGCTGATGCATCATCCCATAGTATGGCGGAACACCACTGCACAATGCCTGCGATTCGGGTCATGTCAAGGTGGTGGGGATGCTGATGAAGCACGATGCTGATGCTAATGCCGAAGACAATGTCAGTACAGTACCTGCCCCCTTTTCGCCCCCCTTTATGATACACCTGTACAACATGATGGTGGGGATTCTGTACCTGTGCGTCATGCTGATGCATCATCCCATAGTATGGCGGAACACCACTGCACAATGCCTGCGATTCGGGTCATGTCAAGGTGGTGGAGATGCTGTTGAAGCACGATGCTGATGCTAATGCCGAAGACAACGTCAGTACAGTACCTGCGCCCCCCTTTTCGCCCCCCTTTATGATACACCTGTACAAAATGATGGTGGGGATTCTGTGCCTGTGCGTCATGCTGATGCATCATCCCATAGTATGTCAGAACACCACTGCACAATGCCTGCGATTCGGGTCATGACAAGGTGGTGGGGATGCTGATGAAGCACGATGCTGATGCTAATGCCGAAGGACAATGTCAGTACAGTACCTCCCTCTTCCCCTTTTCGCTCCCCCTTTATGATACACCTATACAACATGATGGATGGGGATTCTGTACCTGTGCGTCATGCCGATGCATCGTCCCACAGGATAACAAAACACCACTGCACTATGCCTGCGATTCCGGTCATGACAACGTGGTGGAGATGCTGTTGAAGCACGGTGCTGATGCTAATGCCAAGGACAAAGTCAGTACAGTACCTCCCTCTTCCCCTTTACCTCCTACATGATGGTGCACCTGTACCACATGATGATGATAATGATGATGTTGTACCTGTGCGTCATGCCGATGCATCGTCCCACAGGATAACAAAACACCATTGTACTACGCCTGCCGTAACTGTCATGACAACGTGGTGGGGATGCTGTTGAAGCACGGTGCTGATGCTAATGCCAAGGACAACGTCAGTACAGTACCTCCCTCTTCGCCATTTTGCCTCCTACATGATGACTGACACATGATGTGATAATGATGTGCTGTACCTGTGCGTCATGCCGATGCATCACCCCACAGGATAACAAAACACGACTGCACTATGCCTGCGATTCCGGTCATGACAACCTGGTGGAGATGCTGTTGAAGCACGGTGCTGATGCTAATGCCAAGGACAAAGTCAGTACAGTACCTCCCTCTTGCTCTCCTTTACCCCCCACATGATGGTGCACCTGTACCACATGATGATGATAATGATGATGTTGTGCCTGTGCGTCATACCGATGCATCGTCCCACAGGATAACAAAACACCATTGTACTATGCCTGCGTTCCTGTCATACAAGTGCTGGAGATGCTGTTGAAGCACGGTGCTGATGCTAATGTCAAAAACAAAGTCAGTACAGTACCTCCCTCTTCCCCTTTACCTCCTACATGATGGTGCACCTGTAGCACATGATAATGATTGTGATTCTGTACCTGTGCGTCATTGCATCATCCCACAGGATGGCAAAGCACCACTGCACTATGCCTGCGGTCACGGTTATGTCAAGGTGGTGGAGATACTATTGGAGCACGGTGCTGATGCTAAAGTCAAGGACAACGTCAGTACAGTACCGTTCTCTTTGCTCTTTTAACCCTCTGGCTGCTGCTGCTGCTGGTGGTCGTCGCCTTTGCCTCGTCCCTCGCTCTTCTACACCCTTCCCACCGTGCGCGTCCGTTCTGCCTCTTGTTCCTTTTCTTCTTTCCCGCTATCCCTGGTTTTTCCTCGTCTTCCGTCCGCCCGTTGTCGCTGCTCCCTGCCCCCCGCTTCTTTCCGCTGTATCTTCCGCCCACCTTCTTTTTCTTAATGTTGTGACTTCAAACCGAGCAATACCCCATCCCTTGCCATCGCGTCTTTGCCTCTCTCGCGCGCTCAAACGGCTTTTAGTGCCGTTTCTTCAAATTTACCCCGATGCTCCCCTCCACCCCTTTAAGAAAGAACTGCAAATAGGCCTCATGTTTCTGAACATTGATTATCTTATATAGGACCTTAGAACGCCGCTCCATGCAGCTTGCAACGTCTTTGCCAGCCGAAAGGTTGCTCAGCAGCTCTTGAGACGCGGCGCCGACCCAGATGCGAGAGATTTTGTAAGCCTTTCAACCACGATGGCGTACTTTTCCGCTCTTCTGCTGCACCTGCGATTGATTCGTGATGGGCTGCTGTGGCAGACGGGTGCACGGCCCTTGGATCTGTACCTTCGCGGGGATCTTATCCAGCTGCAGGTGGGCCTATATTTATTTTCTTCGGTATTGATTGCAAAGGAAAGCTTGCTTACTGATAAATCTGCTTCACTTTACAGCTTGTTGCAGATCTATTGCGTGCAACCCGTAACCCTTGCTCCTACCGATCTTCGAATTCCAATGGTACGCACCTGATTCCCATGTCATTGTTTGCATTGTCTTGTTCTCATCGGATCTCAATGTGGCGCCAGTTCAAGGCTTAATTTACGCGGAGCAGCTCAGACACTGGCGGTGCGCTGCTGCTGTTCTCTGTAGCGTCGGCTGGCGCGTGGATCCTCGATTGTTCAATATTCACGACCTACAAACCCTTGGTGACCTGGCCGCTCAAATGTCCGCCGCTCAAGCTGCACTTACGAATTGAAATGCGTTACGCCTATGCTTGCCTTGTCGATTGCTATGCAAACAGAAAACATAGTCAACAGGCAGGGAGGGCTTTAGAAGCAGAACAGTCCAACAACCACCGAAAAAGAGCGAGAAGCTGCTCCGTCTCAATTTGCCATGACATTGAATGATGGCAATGGTGCCTTGGTAGTGGCGGCTGCGGCACTGCGCGAGCTGCTGATGAGGGCGGCTCACCCGAGGATAAACAAAGCAAGCACGAGCACAAAAAAAAAGGACATGAAGCACAAGAAGCACCGAAAAGTAGCTCAAGATTTTTCACTGTCATCATGTACTATCTCCAGCACGTCTGACGGTCGGTTTTAGGTTGCGAGGAAGCGCGTAGGCTTGAGGAAGCGCTTTGTGAGAGGTTTGAGAGACGTCCGTTGAGACGAAGCAAAAGCTTTGATGGTGTCTTGAGGTCAATTGAACCAGCTGCGGTTGGCAAGCATTCACAGTGACCAGGCCAGGTGCACCGTTAGACTCGCTGCAGAACCTCTCGATCTCAAGAATAGGGAAAGTGCAACCCTTGCCTAACCGCAGGTGTCACAATAAAGGGAGACAGCAGTAGTCACAAGCTTAGTGCCCCAAGGCATGAGCCAGGAAATGTGAGGTCTAAGTGTAGGTGTGTATACGTGAGGTCACAGCAGCTATAGTGACCGACACAAAAGCAGTGGGAGTGCTCAAATGCGTGGAAGCACGGATTTGACGCTACTTTACTTTGCACCTTTCCGTTTCTATTTCCTGTTTGCTTTGTGAATTGACCACATGCAGATCATAACCTCAAAGTGGCAGTGGACCAGCTCCCTGCGAGAGCTTAATTGCCTGGCATTGACCTATGCACACCTATAATCTGGTGCATCTGATAGTCTGGGCGTACGAGCATCTTGAACCCAACGCAGTTTCACCATACACATAGGTCTCCCCGTGCATGCCATGGTATACACGAGCCTTTTCCATCGCTACTCCTCCGCCAGTCCCAGAATATCTTCTTCTCTGAAGATCGCTTGGCGTTTGTTAGGGTTAGGCAGAACCACATGGATCAGCAATCGCGAGTCGCATGCTGCACACTACATGGACAAGCGGGCCAGTGCGGTCATGATGGCGTACCTGCTATTGTGCAAGCCGCTGGAGGAGTTGTTTGCTGATTACTTGCAAGATCGAGACGAATTGATCACGTCTGAGGCAATAGATCCCAATTCTTTGACGGAAGAAGAGCAAGATGAGCTCGAGGCAGACGCGATGGAGGACGAAGATTCGATTGAGCCCAACACCGTTGGCTCTGTTGACGACCAGCACGACGATCTACGAGCGGCCAAGCGTGTCGCACAGGAGGGCACGTATGAGCTGCTGTTCAACATTGCGCCAATGCAGCTCGAAAAACAGCTTCGGCCAGGCCAAGTCTACCGAACCATCCAGGCCGTGACCAACCAGTTTGTGTCTGAGGAATGGCACAAGCTCATGAAGCTGGTAGACGTAGAGGATCAGATCCAAGCCAAGACCGTGAATGGACAGACCTGCGTGCAACAAGTGGTTCATAAACAGGTGGTCATCCAGTCATCTCGGGTCAGGAACGCCAGCACACAGGTGCAAGAGACAGTGGGCACGCAAACAGATCTCGAGGTTGAAGCCTGCGGCGACAAGGACGTGGATGATGAATTGGTAGACATGCTAAAGGCGACAGCCCTGACCCGTGAGGAGAAACTTTCTTGGCCGTTTTATTTAATTGATGCTTCCAATTATGTTGTGTTGCCCCTTTCATCAACAACAAGCTTCCATCCATTAGTTCAATTTCAACCTTCTCACAAGATTTATCAAAACGATGCTTAAGAACGAATTTCGTGTTGGTGCTTGCCAGACGTTGCCCTGCGGTACTCAATGCCACCGTGCCTCTGAGGGCGGGCCTGGACGCTGAAATGACCAAGAAAGAGCTGGTTGAGCCCCTCACATCCCTGTGGCTGGCCCTGGTGGAGGTGGAGCTGAGCCTCTTTGACAACGACAAGGTGCACTTTGTCAACGTCTTCTTATTGTGCACGGCCATGTCCAAAGGAAGCGGCATCCTGCAAGACATCAGGCAGTGGACCACGACGCCCGCTGGACTGCTGTACGTTTTCAAATTGTTTCTGCTTCGCCGTGGCAAGAATGAGTCGTGGTCAGTGGCCAACGAGCTCAGGCCGTATATGCAGCCCGGGCGATTGGTGCATTTCTTGAGCCAGCGCATGAGCATGGCACGAACAGCGAGCGTGGCCGAGGGGCAGGCTGGAGTCGACGTCGAGGTCCGAGCCGATGGCGACGTGACGGACGAGACGCTGCGCACCATTGTCTGTCGAGGCATTGAGCTCAATGTGGAGGAGCTCGGGGCTGCATTGGAGCAGATGCGCAAAGACATGACGGAAACTTTGGACAAGCACCTCTTGCTGGACTCACGCCTGCGGAAAGATTACGAGAAAGAATATGAGCGGCTGCGATTGAAGGAGGATCGGACCAACAGGGTCAAGAACTGGTGGGTGGGCCATGGCAGTCCAGCCGAGAACGCGCTGTTTGATCACATTGGCCAGACCCTGAGTCTGCGGCAAGAGTTTATCCAAACCGAGCATGGGCCCAGTGGCGAGCTGACCTTTCGAGAGGACAGGGTACGGGTATGGCTCCTCTATGTGTGCAGGTTCAACGAGCTAGCACTCACCTACACGCACATTGCCGGAGGTACGATTGGAATCAAGCCGTCTCCTTGAATCAAGCCGTCTCTTTTTTTTTTTTTTTTTTTTTCTTGCGCCACTCATGCCTGTTTGCATTTGACTAGGTCTGCCGCCACGAGCCTCTGTGTATCAAGGGCTGTCCTACAAAAACGGCGTGGGCCGGCAACGAGCCGCGTTTTTTGCCGAGAAGCAGCTCTCCATATTGACCCGCGTGAGCAAGACCTACTGGCTGTCCCTGAACGAACAGCACACCTTTCGATACATGGACCAGGAAATCAGCACGCTGATATTCATGTATTTGCTGCTGTGCAAGCCTCTGGAGCACATGCTGAGCAGCTGGCTGCAAAAGCGGGGCGGGCTGGACACCCCCGACGACGAGAATGGCATTCACAATGCCGAGCAGGACGACGAAGATTTGCTCGACGACGAGCTGGATGAAGACCACATGAGCCACGACGAGACGATGACATTGCGACGCGAGGTCCGGGACGCTCGAAACCACTACAACAACAGCCACCTGCTCTTCAACATTGCGCCCCTGCAGACGATGGTCAGCCCAGCCACCATATATGCGACATTTCATCGACAGATGACCACGTACCTGCATCGGCCAAAGCTGGGGGTGGCCACGTGGCGACACGCCGCAACCTTCTGGATGACGACGTTTGTCATTAATCGACTGTCGGCCGAGACGACCGGCGCCCTGGGCAGCCTGATCCACACTCAAGCTCAACACTCTGGGGACACGGCCCAGCGGGCCTATGCGCGCACAGCCAGTGACCATGTGCAAACCAAAATGTCGTCGCGACTGATGCATCAAGTGGCCTCGCAAAAGTGGCATGCTTTGTTTGGACTAGATCGCAAGCGCAGCATGGCCGAGTTGACCGCGAGCCAAGAAGCATTGGAAGCTCGCTATCCCATCAGCTGGAACCCGGTGACTGACCTCTCGCCCGAGGCAAACGGGCGTATCATCATGAACACGAGGGCCGAACATGACGTACCCTACATGACCCAGCTGGCCAAGCAGGCGACCATCTCCTGGGGCCACAGTTTCAACAGCCAAGAACAGTTGGACCTGGCTGCGGCCATTGACCAGCACCGGCCGGAAGATGGATGGCTGATTGTTGTTGCACCGACAGGCATGGGTAAAACATTTTGTACCCTGCCCAAGCTGGGCTGTCGCCCGCATGCCGGTACGGTGCTGTGGATTGTGCCGTTTGTGGCCGTGGCCAACGATCTGTTGCGGCGATTCAAGGCGCAGGTCACAGTGCCCAGCGATGGCTTGGTCCCTCTACAC